TAAATAGTAAAATTATTCAAACGGGCCACAGATGTTCATATGTTGGAAGTAGATATGAATGAAGACTGTCGTGAATTGGTGTGTAGATTGTATAAAAGAGTATTAGACATAATGTTTGCTGCAACGTTCATCAGTGCTTATTTGAGAATTGGATTAAACCCACGCTCACTTGGATCACTCCATGGATTGTGTCACACCCCAAAACCGGAACGGCGGAAACGTTCGGGGTGGAGGACGTCATGTCAAGTATCACGAGATATGTATATGGTAAGCAAGTAATGAACAACCATTTCATTTAGAAAGAAAGTGTTTACAATGTATGTGTTCACAAAACATAGAAGTCATAAACAAATAACAAAACAAGACTAGAAGCTATAATGCTCCGTCTTCTGAAGTCCCAGCACGAGCACCTGACTAATAGTCTCCTGAGAATACAAGTTATTTGAAAGAGTTGATCAGCAATTAAGCTGGTGAGTTCATAAGATTTTAGTGATGTGAGTAAGCTGTAAAATGTGGAAAAAGTATATGTAAAAGTGATGTAAGTTGTGAGTTCTGTTTTGAAATGATCGCCTGTTCCTCTAGAAAATCCTATATTTCCTACTTTAATGGAAGTTACGTAAAATAACACTACAAGCCTTTCTATGCGTACTAAGTGGGTACAAATTATATATACTTGGAGTAAACAAACAATCGATTGTACGCATCTGCCCTCAACTTACAACCCAACGGGGTACAATGAGTAAGGCGGATAGCACACATTCCATTGGTTGTTAGATCGTTGTCATATGTAACCATGGTGTATTCACTTGTTACTCATGGATTTATTTGTAATGGTTCCTTTATATCTAATGGAGAGTTCCTTTTAAGAAAACCTATATTTCTTATAATAAAATATTGACTATGGTGATTACTTTTATAATAACTTCGTTTATACTGCTATATATAATTTGATATCAGGTAGTTAGTAGATTGGGTGACTAACGGGAACAGGACATACAGCGAAGAGCACACATTCTACTAGCTGTCGGATACTAGTCTTATATATAAACATGGTGTATAAACTAAGGTATTATAGAGTTAACTCACTTAAAGTCTTTAAAACTGTACTGGCTTAATAAAATGGATTAAGCCCTTAACTGGGAAATCGCTAGTTTTGTATATCAAAAGTACTGACTTTGAAATAAAAGTTTTGTACTAGAAAAACTGTGCATTGACTCTGTGTCCTATGACCTGGTCCATACCTGGTACCCTTATGATGACTTAATGTATACTAAGCATAAATATATATATTTTCGGGTAGATAATAGATTGTGGGATCTCAGTTCAAGACCCCAATCCAACGAGAACAGGCAATGAGGCGGGGAACACACATCCTATTATCTATCGGAATCTATTAGCATATATGTATCCTATAGTGTATGCATTAAGGAATCATAAGATTAGCATTATGGTCCTAACTTTTAAAAGTAGCCTTCTACCAAGACTCGATTGTTTTGAAAGCAGTCTTCTACCAAGACCCTACTGTTTTGAAAGCAGTCTTCTACCAAGACTCTACTGTTCCTTTGTCAACTGTAAAGTACATTCTCCCTAGTTTATAACCTACTTCGATTAGAGAATAGATCAACCTTCAAGTGTTACCGACACTTTATGAAAGTAATGGGAGAAAGTGAGTACCCTGATGTCGTTTATAATGACATACGGAGGTACTATCAACCTAAAAACATATGCGTGTTTTATTACGGTCATAATGTGAAAGCTAGAACCCCTACTAACCCGCTCTCATGTATGGAGATTGAGGGAACCACAACGCGACCCGAGCATATCCATGCAAGCCGTGTAATTCACATTAAAGTTAGATCCTATCTGCGTATTATCATGCTATAGCAAATTTACTTGTTTGTTATGTTCTGTTCTGGTATTGTTTGATTCTCTTCACTGTTTGTTATGTTCTGTTCTGTTCTGTTCTGTGTGTGCTTCATTGTACAAGAAGTAATGAATAGCATTCTCCTAAACTATACCTATAATAGTTTACTAATGTTCTAACTGGACTGATACTGAAAAGACTCATTTATCTACAAAGTTATGCTTATACTTTAAAAATGGAGTTTTATATAACTATAAAGTAACATAACCTTTAGAAGAGTTTTAAAATGTTTTAACAACTTATAAATAACATAAGTAACATTTTGAAAGAATGATTAACAACAAATAATTACACAATTATCATTGTGTTCAACTTGTATTCCCCCCCCCCCCCTTAAAACAATTAAAATAGTTAAAAGATTCATTACGGGGTATGAACTCACCTGATGTGGGTGATTCAAACGGGTATGCGCGTATGGATGAGAAGTTCCACGAATGAAGTTCCGAGACACAATAAATCCTAAATGATATTTAAGGACACATAATGACATGAATATAGTGTTTATAAACAACTATATGAAAGGAAACACTTTCCGGGACTAGGAAACACCTTCCGGGACTAGGAAACACCTTAACCAAGTGTTGGAATCACATGTGATTCAACCTAGGAGGGTATAAAGGCACTTAAATGATTTTACTACCATGAGTTCATGGCCCAAGGGAGTTTACGGCCGTAAACTCATGGTTACTCATGGGTTATTGCTAGTTTGAAGTCTAGGGAATTATTTAGGGACATTAGCTTTAAACTAGGATGAGAAAGACCACATCTTTTGGCACTTTTGGGGTGTTTACGGCCCAAATGAGTTTACAACCGTAAACTCATGGCCAAATATGTTTATGAGGGTCCTAAAGGTCATAAAGAATCATTCTAAATTCATGCCTAAGCCCTTGGAAGTGTTTGTCGCATCAAAACACCTCTACTTTGAGTTTACGGCCCATGGACCATTTGGTCATGTGTTTGCGGCCGTAAACACTTATGGAAGATGATATTTTGGTTGTTTTGGGTCCTAAACACATCTAGGTAAGGTTCTATGCTTGTCTCTTGGGCTATGGAAGGCATTTAGGGCAATTTGGCACACTAAAATGGAGTTCACGGCCCAAGAACTTCCTTGGCCGTGAACTCACTTTTGGTCCTTGTTTTTAATTGATTTTGATGCCTAAACATGTCAATGTTTGTCCCATGTTTGGTTTCCAAGGTCTAGGGGTCATTGGGCACACTTTGGCCCTTTAAATGGAGTTTACTACCCAAGGTGTTCTTGGGCGGTAAACTCACAGATCTTGGTGTTTTCCTATGATTTCTAGTGTATTAAGCATATATAAAGCTTTAGAACAACACTAGATAGAAGTACTCACGTTCCGGAACAAAAGTCCGAAGATCCTTGAGAGAGAATTTGGCTTTTCTCTAGTTGGAATTGTAACTAATGAATAATTTGGTTCAGAATTCTATATATAGTCCTGGGATTTTTGGCAGAAAATATTTTATTCCCGGAAAGAACTCTAATATCATAGAGTTTTGGAATAATAGAGTTGCACAAGACCTAAGTGCAACCTCTTTCCTGATATCCACTTAAGTGTAAATCCTGAGTTGCTCAAACTTGTCCCAAAAGTTTGAAAGTTAGCAGCAATAGGCTTGGCTTCTATTGAAGTGGATGGTTTCACTGAATGGAAAATTTTGAGTTGTCACAGATTGTATCACGAGTGATTGGTGAGACGATAACATCTTATATTCTTGAAACCGAGATGTGTGAGTTGTATCTTTCCAATCGGTTGCACATTGATAATATGTAAACGCACTAGTAACTTGGTGTCATAAAACATATTATTGCGTGTGATTTGGTGAGTGAGTGCAAGCGAGCATTGAATCAAGGTTTATCCATTCCTTTTATCCGAAGTAGGATAAAAGCGATATCTTTGGGCCCCTCGATGATTTAGTGATGACAAACGTAAATGCTCAGCCGGGCTAGGGTAATTTGATTTGTTCAATTAGTTGGTCGTCGTAAATCGGAAATCGAGAAGCAACACATAGACTAAGAGAATAATTTCAATCAATGTCTCGTGTCTATACAATATCTAGAATGGAGGAATATATGATCCCTTATCTGAAGGACACGTTACTGATAAGATCAGAGTTTGACAGCGTCTTTGAGAGCTATGATTGCAAATCGAGGTGTACTTACATTTGTAGTTACTAGAATTATCTAAATGGGAGACTGTTGGATTAGTGTCTAAGCCAGTAACCATATTTGGTAAATACTTGACCCGATTGTGCATGGTCCTTTTGGGTTGCCTTCACCAAAGCAACTTGACTGGAGAAATAATAGAGAAAGAGGTTATTATGATTTATTAATATGTTATAAGAATAATATATTAAAGGAGAAATCATATTTGTTTAATTAATATTGGTCAATAATTAATTAAGAATTAATTTTGTGATCAAATGTAATTAATTAAACTAGAGGGGTTGAATTGTAATTATGTGATAGTTACAAAATAGGGTAAGGATTATCCTAAGGATGGGTTGGACAAATTTAAGTTGATAAGGCCTTAGAATTCGTCCATGATAAGGATTCAAGGCTTATCTTGTGGGTTGCTTGGTGGGGAAGCAACTAGATAAGGATAAGGACTGAAACCTTATCTCTACACCTATATAAACACCCCTTTGGCTCATGATTTCATCCATACCTTCCCAAGACTTGTTAGGGACAAATTTTTATACCTCTCCTCTCTCTCTCTATAGCCTCTCCATTTGCTCTTGGTGTTTGTGAGCCATTAGAGGCACTACACTTGTGGTGCTTGCTTTCAAGACTTAGGGTTTAAAGATTCAAGTTGTTATTACAATATAACAACAAGAGGTATGTAATCTAACCTTCTTGGTTAATTTCGAAAATAGAAATCATCTTTAGGGTTTTATTATGTGTTCATAATGTTGTGTATCTAATAGTGAAAATATAGATCCAATTCTAGGGTTGCATGTACACATAGGATTGTTTGTATAAAACCCATCAGTAAAACCACCGGCAGCCCCTGCCGACATAAACTATTCCAAATCACAGAGAGAACGAAGAGAAAGGAGTAGATCAGTGGGTACAATCATTACCGAGAACTTCGTATCCACACCCACGCCTTGCACAATGGCAAACATTGCTCGTTTCACCGAAGGAGGGCAGTGACAACCCACTGCTGGCATCCTCGTGCTGCTCTTCGTCATTGGCAGCAGCTTCGCCATCGATCTTAGGTGCGGTGGACTCCAGCTTCAATGTCAAGGAGGCGGCGGTCGGACTCAACAGGCCAGGTGGTGGCCAAGCTTGTCTTCATCAATGGTGGTGGCTAGTGAAGCATTAGGGTTAGGCGTGTTTAGACAAAAATGGGAAGGAAGGGAATGATGGGTTTAAGTCTCGTGTTCCTTTCAAACTTTCATCCTTTTAACAAGTTTAGTCACTCCCCCACATAGCCTTTCTAACTTGAGTCTAATATTTACCCTTTCTACCCTGGCTTTGGAATGCTTCTTCAAATTAAATCCGATAATTACCATCTAGACCCTCAACATTAAAATCCTTTACACCTTAGGTACAAAATTTATCAAACAACCCTCAATATCATAATTATGCCATAATCAACCCTTCCACCTCATTTCCTTTTAAATTAAATCCAAACAGTTACCACGGAACCCTTGTCTTCATAAATATTTACAAACTGAGTCCGGAACTCAAACTTTTCACCCCTGACTTCTAAAACTGTGCCAATTAACTCCTTGAAACCAACACCCTGCATATATGATTATTTGTTTTAGGTCTACGAGTCATTCATTAATTTATTTATTTGTTTAATAAATAAACAGGGTTTTACAACTCTCCCCCACTTAAATTAGATTTCGTCCTCGAAATCATTCCTTACCAATCCTTACATACCAAGCCACTCTAGTAACATAGTCATCATCATGGGCACGCCCTAGGCTTCCCAGGGTAGCCATGACCAATCCTTGTAAAGCGCTAAATTCGCAAGTGTTGAATTCCTTGCAACAAGACCACATGTACGGAGATGGTCTGAATCCCTGAAAGACCACTCCTACTAAATTATTACTGATGAATCTAGTCGGTTCATCCCTCAACTAACTACTTAACTTCTGATAGCATGTGGTTCCCACCATAAACCTGGGTCACAACCCAATTACCTCTGCAGATCACTTATTCTCAGCTAAGGCTCAGCTAATCCCATTGTGGGCGACTTGGCACTCCCCAATAAACCAGCTATTCCGTGCGCATATGCAACTAAAACACACATACTATCACTACCCAAACGTTGAAGCTACCCGAACACTGAACTGCCTGAAGCAGTATACGCTGCTACATTGCTACTTACCAAAAGCTATCGAGACCTCCTGGGTCTCAATTCGCTTGCCAATCCTTTGAAATACTGGGTTTCCACCCGGCTGCGGAGCCAAAGGACTCCCTACTTATTTGCCTCACACGACTTCTGAGCGAAATCGTTCTCTGGAACTAGTTGCCACTAGTTATCAAGCCACTATGGCTCTAAAAACCCTCGATCTAACCAATCGGGTCCATGCGTCGAATCCTGTCATCATTAAATCCAAAACTAAGATTGATTGCTACCTGACCAATGGTAGCCTTACCTCACACGTCCTGAAGCAGTCCATTGCTTCTCTGATCTCATAACTGTAGTGACGTCCCTACAGTCTCATTACTAGCTTAACCAGATCTAATCCGTTTTGGTAAATCCGAAATCAAATAAGTGGGTTTCCATATTCTCACTACAACAACAAAACGGGTTGGTAAAATTGTTCCTTTCCCTTCCTAACAACGCACTCATGCTATCTACTAACCTAGTGAATGCTACGGCTACACCCGCAGACTCACAACACTCTATCGCTATCTGGCTGCTAGTGAATGCTACGACTACCCCCGTAGTCTTACAACACTTTCCAAACTATCTGACTGCTAGTGAATGCGACGGCTACCCCCGTAGTCTTACAACACTTTCCATACTACCTGACTGCTAGTGAATGCTACGGCTACCGCCGTAGTCTTACAAAACTTTCCATACTACCTAACTGCTAGTGAATGCTACAGCTGCCCCCGTAGTCTTACAACACTTTCCATACCGGTCGAGCACGCACTCGACCAAACACACAACTGAGCTTGAATCCTAACCGGAACTCTAACCTAGTTCCCGAAAACTGCTATCACGTGACCCCATTGTATCAGTACCGTACTCAAGCCCATGATCAAAGCATCACCATAAACCACAAAATCATCTACACCCTCTAGCAGGGTGAGAATTGGTGCCTCGTACAACCGTTGTCTAAGAGCCTCGAAGGCTGCCTGCTGCCCAGGCCCTCAACGAAAGGCCACCGATTTCTTGGTCAGTCGGGTCAAAGGAACCGCAATCTTGGAGAAGTCCTGTATAAATCTTCGGTAGTAGCCCGCTACACCCAGGGAATTTTGAATCTCAGGTGGAGACCTCGGAATCTCCCACTGCATCATGACCTCTATCTTGGCCGAATCAACTAGAACACCCTTCTGGTTGACAAGGTGGCCAAGGGATTGCACCTTGCGCAACCAGAACTCACAGTTGGAGAACTTTATAAAAATCTCTCCCCCACTTAGACTCGACTAAGTCTTCACATTACATGAGAATTGAAGGATTTCTAATCCTTCTCGCTTTCTAATATCCCACTGATGACAACCTATGCCTGCCAATGCTAGCGTTTAATCACCGATTAAACCTTGAGATCACCCATCCTTGGAAATATCGATGACTACTCTTGGACTCTGATCCAGTCTGACACCTCAGTCCATCCAACATGCTGCCAATTGAAGACCTTAATCTTCACTCTAGCTGATGAATCCTTGTTCTCATTTCCAATCTTGCAGTACCACTGAACTCTAACCAACACAACCCATGCGAAAACACAATTATCCTGAACATGCGATGACCAACCACTCATGTATCTAACATCCTCGACTGACACTACCCTCTTCCTGTCACCAGTTCCGTCCTAGCAACGGTAGTGCCTTGAACTCCAAAGTTCATCCATAAACAATTACCGACCATACCTGAACAATGATAGAACCTCTAAACGCTGACTTCATTGGAGAACAATCACTCCAACCCTGATCGAGTATCCTCTAAATAATACTCCTGCATAGATCTCGACAAAGATCCAAAATGATAACGGTATGCGCGGAACCCACTCCGCAAGACGCATCCCTCTTTGGGTTCATTAAGGACCTTTCGGCATGCAGGATGGCATATATGATCCTTGATAACCCAAACACTAGCAGGAAACAGACCCGAGATCTAACTTCTCCAAACTTATTCATAACTCCAAAGCAATACGCATTCCCAACATCCAACTAGTAGCAATAGAAGATGACATATCCGCAACATCTGGAGGAATACTAATCACGTTCTGCTGACATGATCAACCATGCTACCCTAAAGTAGCCTAAACTCTCGGAGCGGCAAACTCCCTTGTACACTGTCCTGTATGTGCTGCACTAACTCCGGTCCTGATGGCCTTTCACCCGATGATTAGAAATCATGGGTCTCTTTCGGGGACCTTCTGCTAAACACACCTGGCATGACCCTCTCCTTCCAGGGTGTTCCAAATCGATCTCGCATCTTCAACTTCTTGGAAATCATATCCCTTAGGGTCTAACACCCTGCCACGCTCACTAACTCACTTGCCAATGGCTGAGCTGCAACAACTGGAACGTCCTCTGTCCCCAAACTGGGTCACAAACTCTTCCCTGAAGCTTCTTAGATTCTCCAAGACTCTCACTGATTCGAGTATGGATCCTGTGCTTTCAGTAATACGGGCCCAATACTACCTTCCGCACCTATCCATACTTTCCTCAGCAATCCTCCCGGATCCTCCAAGTCACTTCCTCAACTGGTACACCCAAGTCTAACTGAGCCTTACTACTAACTCACTAAAATATATCCTAGGCTTCCCTAGGTTCCCGAACTCACCCAGTCCTCAGCTGCCGAAGGATTCCCAGTAATGTCAACTAGCTACCTCATGAATATAGCGACATGCAACATAGATCAGATAATCCTTCAAGTAACAGACTCATCCCTATAACGGTTAGACTCAAACGAGAGCTGCGCAATAGGGTCAAATCTATCACTCTGAGATTATCCAGCCTGTGCCAGATGTGACTTAGCATATTCACTTAATAGCTAACTCACATTACTAAGAGACCCACAAAGCACAAAGCAAGCAGCATTCAGACAACGGAAAATCTAACCATCATATTCCAATCAAATCATTTTATCCTCTAATCAGGAATCTGTACATGCAATTAAAAGGCTCATACAATCAGGCATAACCTAAATAGGTTATCCTATCACTGACTGATCAGTACTAGCATGTAAGTCTACAAGCACATATAATAGGCATATAAGGCATCCTCCTAGATCCTTAGCCCTAATCTAGCATGCAATTCTCATAATCATATCGTAACATAACATATCATAGGATGTATGGGTATCTTGGGGAAAACTTACTTGAGCTCGGCTGATTGCACGCATCACACACTTTGTTCTTCTCAAAGTTCCTTCTCTTTTCAGATTCCTTTCAAACTCCTTTTTTATAAAATGGTTTTACTTTTGAAACTTTTCATACCAAGCCCTTAGTTTGAGTTCAGACACACCCGAGAGTATGTCCGAGTCCCTCAAACCAAGGCTCTGATACCAACTTGTAACATCCCAAAAATACAAGCTAAAAATTTCATTTTTAAATATGTCATTATAAAACCAATAGTGTAATAAAACATCTGTAATATCATGTCATGTCAAAACCAAAGTAGAAATAATCAAACGTGTTATCATAAAATAATATCAGAGTGTAATCCCAAAGATCTCCTGTGGGGAAAACCATAGTGTGATGCGTTGCGATCAAGCTGAATCCTTTCCTCTAAACACGAAGTACCTGAAACCAAAACTGAAAACCGTAAGCACAAAGCTTAGTGAGTTCCCCCATCATACCACATACCATACAATTACATAACATACAAATATTGTCAGGCAATTCTGGGTGCCCGACCTGCCCCTTCGGTCCTCTCGACCGGATACTGTCTAGGATATCTGGGAGCTGGCCTCCCCTTCGGTCCTCTCGACCGGATACTGACAAGTATATCTGGGAGCTTGCCCCCCCTTCGGTCCTCTCGACCGGATACTGACTAGCATATCTGGGTGCTGGTCTCCCCTTCGGTCATCTCGACCGGATACTAACCAGTATATCTGGGAGCTTCCCCCCCCCCCCCCCACCCACCTTCAATCCTCTCGACTGGATACTGACTAGCATACCTGGGTGCTGGTCTCCCCTTCGGTCCTCTCGACCGGATACTAGGGATTATTTCATCCCCTACTACTACCACATAACACATATATTTCATAATCTATCTAGCATGGCTGGGCATGACTGCCCCTTCGGCCCTATCGACCGGTATACTGGGGACTATCTCCCCCTACTGTCACTAGCACATTTCATCATATCATACTAGCACA